TGTAAGATATTGCGGCTCCAAGTGTGTGCAATTTTGCATTAGTATCAATAGTGTAACTCGCAGCGATATTTTGCTTACTGAAGAGATATGTTAGATAATTTAGTCTATTCTGTTCAACTAACGAGGCCTGGAAATTTATCAAAGATAATTTACCAATTGTCATGGAATGCGAATCTGAAAATTTTCTTACAGAAATGTATTTGCTTCGAACGTCACTCCTCCTTTAGTGTCCACCTTTATAAAAGATCATAAAAGAAATATAGTGTCATGCAAAATCAACTGAACGTAACCGTTATTTGTCTATGCATAAATAAACTTGATTGGCACGCAAATTTCGGATGCATTAACCGTCGTCAATGATATTCATAGCTTCATGCTTATAACTGAAGTTGCCGTCAAGAGGAAATTGAACAGTATATTTCTCCGTAAAAAAGACATTGTTGTAGGACGCCCTTTATAACATCAATGCAGCTTCTATTTGAAACTTGTAAGAATTATTACATGCCAGCTGAGGTGGTCAGTGTACCATTGTTTTTTTAGTTCAAATTTCTACCTCGGTCCAACCGTTAAAACGCAACGCACATTTATAATAATAATATAATGTTTATAATAAATTACTAAAAGGAGCATGAAAAAATAGATGGTGGAAATCCGATTGAAAGCTTCAAAATTCTTTGAACATATCACGCAATTCTCCAACATAACTTTCACATATGCATCGCAACTTTCTTTAAAAAGTTCTTTAAGGCAAATTTGCTCATTTATCTCGTCTGTGTCGCTACTATCGACGAATCCCTGCTGTGAAAGTCTGGCCACTTCTGCGGAAACTCGTGCATAAAGCGAGGCTCGTCTCAAGATTTTGTCCGGGGGTACGCGTCGAACTGAGATTTTTTATTCATTTTTAAATTTATTGTTTATTTTTCTTTGTTCTTCATTGCTCTTAGACATAATTCATCGGCCACTAAACCCCTTGTAGCCTTGAAATTTTGTCGATATAATATTTATTGAAGAACAATTTCTGCATAATTTAGCGTAACGAGTTGATTGCATCGCTAAGAGGTTAGCATAAATGTCGTAATCTATCATTCAAATTGGCGCAAACTTTTTTGTTTGAAAAATGAGGGCCCAAAACTAACTAATTATGAATGTTCAAAAAGCGTTTCGACGAGCTTGTTTTTATCGTATTCGTTAATTTTTTGAAGGCTTGGATTGTTCTGAAGGTGTTATCCGAAGACGAACGAATGAACCAAGTCAGAAACAAATATCAAACTAGCTAACTTAAAGCTATTAATCGAAATAACTCGCATTTATTCATTCTCGCATGCTTAACACGATTCAAATATCGTGACTATTGGCAGCATACATTCTTTTTCCTTAAACTGATCACGAATGCAATTGCAATTTCCCGTTTATGTATAGCTCACAAAACACGACCAAATTAAAACCTTATCAACAAATATTTATTCGTGAGTCCTCAAGTCCATACGGGAGAAAATAGCTGCGTTTGCATTATGGCCTCACCATACACTGCGCCATCCATTTATAGAAACTATTTGTATTACAATCAATTTAACTGATATCGACGGAAACTCCGATGATATCAATTAAATGGTGGAACCACCAATGAATTCGCCCCAGTTTTGCTATCCAGACCAGAATCGTGAACATTTGACAGCACAGCGGAGTTGATCACATTAAAATTTTTTCTTTGAAATTCCTACCAACGTAGCGTCGACGCAGGGCTCAATATTTGCCTATAGTATACTGAAGGGAATGTTGCACCATGCAGTTTTGAGGGTCAACCTCCATGCCGCCGCAGCGCCGCCCAACGACCGAGGACTTCACTTCACTTCACTTTCACTGGCGGGCGGTTGGCACAGCACGTTTGAGTGAGCACGATGCCTGCCTAAGTACGGCTGCCGCGCATGATGTAATGCCGAACTTTGTTTATTGCGGTCTAGGAGGACTACTAGGCCCTTGGGCTGATCTCGATACGCTATTTTGGTGACCCCCTTTCAGGCACACCCAACTAACAAATACGGAATTTATAAATCACACAATCTATTAGTGGGAGTTAATACGCACCCAATTGACAAATATTGGGCTTAACACGCATCTAAATGAAAAATGCTCATTTTATGACGCTGACAGTAAAGTGTTACGCTTAGAGCGCACGCGACAGTTTAGTGTTGCAATTAAATTAATTGCAGTTATGGCAATATTTGGAAAAAACAAACCGCTAATATCACGTTTACTGACGTTTGTTCGAGCGTCGTTTGTTCATGTACATCGCTGAAGACATCACATTTAAAAAAACCGTGCAAAAATTACAGTTAAATTGTGACAAACAATCTTCCTATAATGATATGCCTTACTGTGCGGAATATGTATCACTTTGTCTGGCCATTTAGCCTGGACCTGCAGAAAGGTAAAATTACTCAACTGCACAAATTAATAAGTGACTTTTTATAAGTCCGCTCTCCTCATTACCAGCCGCGTTTAACTAAACTTATCCATATTATTGTACGTCTTTATTTTCATAGCATCGACTCAATGACCAAAGGTATAATTATTCCTCAATTTGATGAGCGTTTTTCTAAGTCTTTATATCACTGCTTCGCCATTAACGCAATGATATGCTATCATCAGGTGACCGTGTTCCTTGCCGTGCTGGTCGGTGTCGCCGTAGCTGCCAAGCTGCCACCGCTCGAAGAAGAAGAAATAACTGAGGTAAGTGGCTTCTGTGTCACTGATTGATGAATGCCTTACACTCACGTTAATATATGCCTCAAAATCACGTTACTGCATGTCTCAAACTTTAATGCATGGCTCAAACTCACGTTAATGCATGCCTCAAATTCACGTCACTGCATGCTTCAAACTCACATTAATGCATGCCTCAAACTCACGTTAATGCATGCCTCAAACTCACGTTAATGCATGCCTCAAACTCACGTTAATGCATGCCTCAAACTCACGTTAATGCATGCCTCAAACTCANATCGCATTTGTATTCAGGAAGAATTAGTTTAATCATCGCATTTGTTTTTAGGAAGAATTAGTTTAATCATCGCATTTGTTTTTAGGAAGAATTAGTTTAATCATGACATTTGTTCACACAGGACTAGGGTAATTTATTAGGTACCGTTCTGAAAACAGAAGATTTCGGAATGGGAAACGGAAGATTTCTTTTCGAAAAGCAACGAAAAGCAAGAAATTATATTAGAATAAAGCCATGATTTAGTGCATTCAAGACTTTTGTATCTACTTTCCCTGATGCAGTAATGAATTTAAAAATCTGTCAATTATAAATTGCATCAGATAGAACTCATAGAAGAAAGTTCGAGTAAATTTCTATGTCCATCTACGTAAGGAATCCTACTGCACTGCGTCGAGTAATCAGATTATTAACGCGTATGCAGTAAATACTCCAACTTTTTGCCCATTCTTGAAGCTCAAACCTCGGCCAAGAAATGATTTACAAATGTAGTATCAGCTCCTGCTGCACGACACCACAATCACACAATATGATTTTTATTTTTTTTACAAAAATTAGAGTTCAAAATAATTTATCAGCTCTGGCGACCCGGCATCACAATCACACACTATGATTTTATTTTTTACAAAAAAATTAGAGTTCGAAACTTGATAACCTAAAAGTTTTGAGTAATAAATATTTCAGTATTGATAGGATCCACCTTAATTTCGTATGTACCCTACAGGCCACGGTCTCAAAAGAGCCTTCAGGAATCGACGTAGTCATTCCCGAGCCTTACGTGGACCCGAAGCAGCTGAGGCGAGTCATCCAGTAACTTTCTTCAGGGTCTCAGACGTCACGTCTCATCTGTAGAATTTTCAAGACATTAACATCGCCAAGTTCACTCGGGAGCTGTCTTACATAATTGAACATTTGTTGATAAGGAAATTGTTGTAGTTTAACCATGGATAAAATATTGCGTTCGGTTTATTTATAACAACAGTTCAGGCTAATTAATGAGCTAAAATATTAGGAAAACTAAGAAGTGAAAGTCTTTGAAGTGAAATATGATGAAAAATAAGAAGTGAAAGTCTATATTACCCAACGAAATGACAAGCTCAGGAGTCCACTTGATGAAGTTATTGTCATGAAAACAAAGTAGTTTGTTTCTGTCATCTCATATGCATTGATATGAAGCGATTTAGGCTAAGGTTCCGTGAATCTTGATTGTACTTTAACACGCCTGACATATACAAGCTCGACCTAGCCCATTCCTTCACAACCATTTCATTTTCCTCAACGTTACTTGTCGATGTTACATATATGAGGTAATTTTATTTCATGATATGAAATCGCAAATTTTCAGTACTTCAACTCTTCCTCACAATGTACCATTTGTAATGTTTTAACCAATCATGCGATATGAGTGGAAGCAACATTATGCATGTTAAACTTGATTTCGTTTCCAGACTCAGTTTGCGACAAAATTTTTAGCGGCCCCGCCGTGAAACTAACAACAAATAAATACATTTTACTTCAACAACCTCAGTTATAAGTTAGTTTTATTATCCTGTACAATAATTTGTGAACTAAATCATTATAGTCGTTTGTGGGAGCACTCAAACATAGAGGTAATTCAGAAAAAGGTCATAACACAGATTAAAGATTGACTATGTACAAAATTGATTTATTACAACATCCGGATTGAAATATGTTCAATTAGGAAGAATTTCGTCAGGGATCATTTTCATGAAAGAAATCTTTGTACAAGACGAGTGATACTCAAATGTACAGGAGTTTGAACTTCGAGCGATCCTCAAATTCATTCAACTGCGTAGGAAAATGGACGTTATTGAGAATAAATTGTAATTGAATTGCAGAATAAGTTTTCAATTTATAAAAGAAATTAATCAAATTTCATTTCTTATCTCACCTTGCTATTAATCCTATTTTAATCTCGGGATTCAGGCACACGTTGGGTATTAATTTGATTTCACTAAAGACAAGTGAGGATAAAAAAATCTTTCCGACTCGTTTTGATGTTTAACACTCGAGGGTATAGGTACAAAATTGCGGGTTTGAAACGGATTTGTACTCACGTTTTGATGTTTGGTTTCCTCCACAACACACAGGAAGTCATTAATTTTTACTTTTTACACTGAAATTTTGCACACAGATGGAACTCTTATTGCTAATCCCTCACAGAGCAACAAAAAGTGTAGGGTACGAATATTCATGTGTATTTAAATTGTCGTCAATTACGTTTTCTATCAGGCTTCGTTTGTCATACTTGGAAACATTGGATTTGAAATTTCAACATACGAATAAAATGTTATATTATACGTTATGCATCACAGAAATTGTCATGCATAAACAAAAGAGCCAATAACATTGAATCAATACGAAAATATGAAATGTCTGTAAGCGGTTTAAAGTTATGCGGACCATCTTCATCACAACGGCGTACAAACAATTACTATAATAAATTGGTCTGAAATATTACAAGGATCTGCAGTCGCGATTAGCTATAACAAAATTCTTTAAAAAAATCCGGCAATTACGTATTATTTTTTTCATAAACGTCAAATTAAATCAGTAAACCTTAAAAGACAATAAGCGTAAATCTTGAAACAACAATGTTGCAATATTTTCAAATTTACAAGCCAAGATCAGATTTTATTACAAACGTTGAAATAGTTTAATTTATAGGTGTATAACAAAGCAGTCAAAGTATATACATATTTTTCAAAGTAGATTTCAAACTTATTACATACACAGTTCATCCCATTTTCTTTTTTAAACCACTCTTTTGTCATCATAAAATTCTAGGTTAGAAAAACATTTTAATTTATAGCAGTTCGTATTTACAATATATACATATACACAACAAACGACAAGTATGCACGTCGACAAATATTCACATTGGTAAAAATGAAAAAAAAAAATTTCCGGTAAAAATGCAAACAAAAAATTTTCACACCCGGAGTTGAGTCTCCAATTTTACCCATTTTGATCCAATAAATATTACTACCGGGGTCGCTGTATGAATGCTTCTATTCATGATCGGCATTTGGACAAACTTTGGGTTATGTGAAGTTCCCAACACGATAGCTGTTGTTTTCACTGAGTGTTGCTAAAGACTCCGGATTATTTCGCATTTTTTCGAAAATGTTCCCAAATCGAAAAATGTTGTCTACATTAATGATTAGATTTAGAATTTTTAGTTAATTTAAAAAAATGATTACGAAAATATTCTTTGTACTAAGACAATAGTAAAAGAATTGAAATAATTTTGATCGTCGCTCTTTTTTGAGCATTTTTTATACCATGGATTTATATAGTCCGACATCCAGATATTTTTCAGGTAATTCTTTAATATTTTAATTAGTATCTTTTTAACTAAGCCTTAAATTATAGCGGTCTACACACTCGTAATATATATTTTTAATAAAAATTTTGCAAATCTCCATTAATTTTGAGGTTCGTGGGCCAACGCTTCGTGGTAGCGCTGATGTCTGGGCCCGGGGAGACCGCGGGCTCGGAAGGTGTTCAGGGTCTCCTTGATGTCCCGGATGAGGGGGACGGCGGGGTCCCCGACCCTCAGACCCAGGGACTCTGCAAGCGCAGCTTCTGCAGCTGGAAATGATTAAATGAAGATACTGGTGTACAAAAACGTATATAAAAAAAACACTGGGGGACTTTCGTATATGAATCATTAGGAGTATCATTTTATATAAATCATTCATTACTCTAATATCTGCTGCAAATATTATAGTACAGTAATTGATTGTCTTCCTTATATAACATGAATATCTAAACTCGAAACTAAAACGAACATCAAATGAATAATCGAAAACCATTTTTATTAGAATTATTTCCGTCAAGGTACATAATGAATATCAATATTAATCTGCTTTAAGAACTAAATAATAGATTCAGATCAAAATAATTTAAACTACAAAATCTACACGGAGTTGACTTATTACAATCGTTGAATTATAAATACATATACATTATAAATAAGAATACATTATAAATACGAATGAATTATAAATACGAATAAATTATTAATACGAATAAATTATAAATACTTATAAATTACAAATAAATTATCTATAGATTATAAATAAATTGTAAATTACGGGAGGTGATGTGGGGAGGAGATGCGGGACCACGGGAGGGCGGGGAGCTGCGGGCGGGGACGCCGACGGGGGTGATGCAGCGGGCGCTGGAGGGGCGGCTGCTGGTCACCCCGGCCTCCCCCCACGCAGGGAGCGGCGCCCCTGGGAGGGGAGGAATGTATGAATATTTTGCAATGCCATACGAAGTTTCGTGGGCAGGGAAAAGGTTCGCCTGAAACACCAAGGCAACTTAACGTCGAATTTGTTATCTTGCGATGGGTTTGAAGGGAAGACTCGATCTAACCATTAATGAAAAATCTATGAGTGATAAACATCATTTACTAATAACACAACAAAATTCTGTAGCTAATTCATAATTAAAATTTTTCCACGGCTAATGTGGTAAATAATTAATTTATCAATAATACATCATTAATCAAGAAATTTACTAATCAATGACTTCCTAAAGGGGGCATATCCTAAATCAGCAACCCATAACTACAAAACAAAACATAAGTACATAACAAAACATAACTACAAAACAAAACATAACTACAGAACAAATCATAACTACAAAACAAAACATAACTACAAAACAAAATTTAACTACAAAACAAAACATAACTACAAAACAAAATCTAACTACAAAACAAAACATAACTACAAAACAAAATTTAACTACAAAACAAAACATAACTACAAAACAAAACCTAACTACAAAACATTTAACCATGTCTAACTAACGTGGGAACCCACATTTAGTCTTTAGAAAACCGTGCTTGGCTTCCATCAATTTATTGAATTCCAATAATTCTTCTTTCAATCCTTCCTCCAGTCTATTCCATTCAAATAGTTTAATGGTTTCCGTAAGAAACATTAAAGAGACAAAGATTTCAATTCGTAACGGAAACCTCCACTTTTACTGAGTACATATTTAGTATCCAAACCGATTGTTCGAAATAAAAATGTTCGAGGCGCTGAATACAATTTCGTCTTCATGCTCTAGCCGAGAACTCGGTGAGAGAATATGTCCAGCATTTTATATTATTGCTATGAAGTAAATTCCGCACTACCTGTAGGCAGTAAAGATGGTCTTCTGCACTGCTTCATCGTAAGCTGTTTATTNCTTCCACCTAAGCTGTTTACTTGCTTTTCAATGAACCTGGTATCACTGTTATTTCTTTGGCTAAGCAGTTAACATTGAAAAAAATATTTACTGCTACCATGAACATAACAAAAGTTTTCAGAAAGATTTTTTAAAAGAACAAATTAAATAAATGTAGCGGACAATATATCGAGATATGCGAGACTTTAATAAAATTTGAACTTGCACATTTTCATTTTTAAGAAATTTCAACCCGCGGGCACTTCAAATATTTTTTATTAATACGTGTTTCTCAAATCATACATACTAGGGCCACAAAACAGGCTGTCCTGAAAATGAATCCTAAAATATTGCATTTAATCACTCCAAAATTTGGACCCACCCGAGGTGGTGCAGTATGAGGACTCGTCTATGGGCTGTACACGGGTCTGTTGAAGGAAGTCTGCTGCGGACCGGGGTCTGACGACATGCTGTGGGTCTCCACCCGCCCAACCGGCAACGTCCGCTGGGGGGCGACCCAACTCTGGCGGCGCAGAAGGGGGCGCTGAGCTCCTGTAAAATCAAAAGCCAAGTCAAATCTCCCGGATCACAAATCTCCAGCAAAATCGAATGCCGAGTGAGCCTTTCCGACAACATAAATCTCCTGCAAAATCGAACCCAAAGTGAAACCTCCCGAGATCAAGTATAATTGCAGGATTATTTGGCACATCACAAGAAGATTAATTGATTATAATTTCCAGTTCGAGGGATAAGACTTTGACTTGAGTTGAGTTCAGCGACTGCCACTGCAAAGTTCCTCATCAACGTCTTCGAACCTAATTTTTTGGACCCAAATCAAACTACTTCGAACCAAATTTTTAAGAATTGCGCAAAGCGCAACTGGGAGAATACAGGACCAGTTCGATATGAGATCCATTAAAATTTATTCAGAATTAGAAATGCCGCCCCGCGGTATATATTAGAAACCAGCAGTATATATGTTAATTCAGAAAACTAATGATTCCAAACAATTCCAGCAAAATCTTGAAAATTCGGCGTTTAGGACTAAGCTAACAGATGCATTCGATAAATCTCTAGTATCATAGATCATATGAATAGTCATGAATATCATACAACTTTACTAAATTATCTTATTTACAGCAGAACTCACATTTAATAAATAACAAAAAAACTACATTGCCCGACAAAGCATAATTTTCGTAGTCATAAAACACGCCCGTGCATCACACCGTGCAAGAGATCACATCTGAAATTGCAGAAGTGATGAAATAATTTCGCATGTTGTTTTCATACCTCCGTAAAGATTCAAAATTTACCAGTTAGACTCTTCCTTACTAATCCCACGTGGACACGAAAGTGTCGTCTCGATCTTTCGCTGCTTCGTAAATCTTTTAAGATACCAGCAAAATATCGGTGAGACACGTTAGAACCAATACTTCATTATTACTTCTTATTAATTCTGATCAACATGAAGTATCCTTGTAATCCTTGTCGTTGGTTCCGTTGTTGGTTGCGAGGAGCAAATTACAAGTTACTAGTTGGAATTTTTCGTTGAAATGATTTGCGTTGAACCGTATTTGATATTTATTAAAGAATTCGTGGGAAAAGTGGAAAAATGTATGTGGTATGTATAGGTATGTGTCTATGTGATGTAAATGATGGATATGTTTCATTCCGCAGAAATTCACCGTCTGGAATATAAAAAACTGACCTCGCAGCCAGAGTCCCATTCTCATTACTCAACAATATTCGCTTTCCGGAAAAAATACCGATCTATAAGAAAGTACTTACGAATTTTTTGTAAATTCGCGGTGCGAAGTTGTAAATCTAAAATATGAAATGAAAATGTAGGAAAACTTTTTCATCCAATACACCAACTGAAAAAAAATTGGGATCAAAATTCCAGCAAACACATGCCGCTTTTGCTCCAGGTGTGTTGACACAAAAAAACCATGCAGTGCTAACGTTGCACGCGTAAAAATTCTAGTCCGTTATTCGAATCTTTATTTGAAGCCAAAAAATTAAAGCATCAGCTGAGTACATTCGACGGTAAATGACTTTAAAAATACAATCAATAGTTACATCAGCATAAAAACGTTCCAGTTCCAAGAAAAAAACATTATTTTACGTGTTTATGAAAAGTTTATAGTATTAAATAATAATGTAATAACAATAATTATGGGAGTAAGTATGCCTGCTGACATTTTTTAAATACGATATTGCCGCCTCTTTCATTAGATGAGGAACGCTCACGTTATCTCAGGACGTTATCTCAAGTGCGAAGAAAATAAAATTTTAGTTTACATCATTTTTCGCGCATCCTTCGTGACTTGAATTGAGTTGAGATTAACTTCAAATTCCTATATTGTCCCTTTAGGGCATATAGGAGTTTAAGGTTCGTGCATCGTTTTAGAACATTATATTAAATTCAGTTTAATTTGATGTTTCTGACTTATCCCATTACCGCAGAGGATATGAAATTTTGCGCCACTTTTTACTCTTACTAACAAAAAATATGAACTCATCGCGCACGTATAAATTAAATTGTGAATTGATTTCAGCTTCACATGCACGAAAACAAACATAAATTTAGTCGCTTTCTTCAAATGACCGAAAATTGAGGCGCCTAAGGCTTCGATGATATAAGCAAGTGTAATTAATTGAAAATGATTAGTGTTCACACGGCAAATAAACTGCACATACTAGGCAGGGCAAGGCCAGTGGGACCGACGAAGTTTTTTCCGGCTTTGTCTTCGTTGTTGTTGTTGTTGTTAAGGTTAAAGTTGCGCATTTTGGCGAGTTTTGCAGAGAATAGCGACCTGCGAGCAGGGAACATAAATCGAGCGCTGAATTGGGTGAACTGAAAAATGAGTTTTCGATGATCGTTTCGAAGACGTGTGGGATGCTTAGAAATTTTTCTCAGATTAAATGTTAATAATGAGTGAAATGTTGAAATGGGATGATTTATTCACGAAAAAATCATCTGATTTACTAGCCGATGTATCTATATAAACCCTAAAATATGTTGCTTGATTGCAAACTGTCATTATCTGTCTTGCATACGGTGCGAAATTGCAAAACCAAACTGTGACATTATTACAAAAATAACAAAGCAATCGGCCCCAGATCAGTAATAACGCAATTTGAACTTATATTCATTATCATTCATTTTTCCATGCACGGTAAATCGTACTCGCAAAATCTCCATTGTCTTTACAAAGATCCTAAAACCGTTTTTGATCACCCGTCATTGCTTTTAAGACCGAAAAATCAACTGTCAAGTCCATTCTAAAAATTTATGGCGTCTGATTTACAAGTTTCTAATCGTTCACTTTTGCTTCGTTTATTTTTTTCGATATATCCAGAAAAAATATTCATAGAACATGAAAGCATATCCGGAAAATTGAATTTTCATTAACAAAATGATTCACTGCATCCAAGAAGAGTGTCATCCGCAATGCATTCCAAACTTTCAACACTACGTGAAAACATGAAAATCAATCATTACCATTAATTAATTCACGAAATTGGTCGACATAAGGAAACATGTTCTCATGCATAAGAAAATGAAATAAAGTTATGTATATTAAATATTCTTACCATTGCCTACTATAATACAATTACTTAAAATTCATGACTTCAGAGCTGAAAAATTAAAAATGAAATTACATTTGCTCTTCTTCCTGTTGATATTTTCCCTGTTTGAATCATCATAAACGTTCGGCTAGAATACCAGACACTTTCTTGATAAAAAAGATGCAGAAGTGCTCACCTGCCAGACGTAGAAGGCACTGGACGCGCGAGGTCATCATCGGCAGCGGCGGTGTTGTCGTACCCCGCCAGAGTGTTGACGCGGTCTGCCCGGTGCCCGCCGTCTAAGATGTTGAAGGCATCCGCAAGGAGGTCGTGGAAACGCTTGCGGATCCTCCTGTAACTTCCGGGACGACCGATGAACGAGCTCTCGTCGGTGTCTGTTTCGGGTACCTGAGAAACGTTTGTAACATTATTTTTAGTGTCACACCACCTCACTGCTCTGAAGAAATCCAGATGGTAGTAAGGCGTCACTAACGCTTAAAGTGTAATTAACGTGAATTTAATTCTAGTAGAGCATTAACTTCTGGATATTATTTATCGCTAGGTAAACACCCATCTCAAAAAAGTTATCCTATGTAGGATACACATTATTTATCGTTGTTTCAAATGTCTTCAGTGCACTCCAAGTATTCTACGAGTATAAAAAAAACGAGTAACTTTTACCACCAAGTTCTACTACTTGTATCGTAGTGGAACTTGGTGGTCTCAATCTAATCACAAAAACTTCTTACTGCGATGGTACCCACTCTCCCATTATAGTCATAAGGCATTATATTCAACTCATAGAGACCAGCATGCTGACCGAGGTATGCTCCTCGCTAGAAGTATCCCTCTTGTTCCGAGAACGTGTCTGGCTCAATATGCTGGGGGGCAGGTCTGCGTATGGCAGCGTGTGTAGGGGCGCTGCCAGTCGTGGCAGTCGGGGTGGAGGCAGGTGGCGGTGAGGCGGATCCCCATACTGTGGATTAGCAGCTTGTTGCCACTGGGACACCTCACTCTGGTCCCTCCGTCGCCGAGATCCTCTTGTCTGAGGCCTCAAGGCACTGTCGTCGGTGTCTTGGTTTGCTATTCCTTCACTACTGCTGCTGCTACTTACTTCCTGTGTATACAAGTCATAATTAAATTAGTAATTACTAATTAGTAATTAATAATTAGCTCTAGTGGTTGATGTCATTGCTCCATTCAAAAACCGTGTTCTTGTTTATATTCAATGCTAAACCATACAGTATTGAAGATAATATACTCTTTGGTTGAACCAGAAGCCACAATAATCTCTTTGCATGGAAATAATAACAGAAAATATCAGAAGTAAAACTCACACTATTTATATTTATTCTATTCGTAATATACCAAGTAATTTTCAGCATTGACAAGAAGCCCATTAAAATTACTGAGCTCGATCTAATCTTTATTCACCCCTGCTTCCATTGATTGAAGGCCAGGCCGGGACAGCGTTCCTTCCTCAACGTCAGATTTTGGGTCCGACACTCCGAAAATTCTTGCAGTGCGCCGAGTTACTGCTTCCGGCGAATCACCCTGCGATGAAAAAATTTAAATACTTCTTTGATTCGTTTGTATTGAAAGAAGGATTTCGATTTTTCTACTACGGGGTCTGGACTAAGATTAAGTTAATGGTCTGGAAAAACGCTAGAAATATTTCCCAACAAAGTTTTTGTGAGAAATCTTATGATCACGTTCTTATTTACTCAGAATTTTACGCAATCATGTAATAATGCAAGTATCAATTTCAGTGCATTTTCCATTATTTTCATGTTGTACACATGGGCAAAAAATCTGTTATTTTAAAACAACCAACCAAGATCAACAAATGTCATACCAATAATCAAAGTCAAGAAGACGGATTTTGTGGGCAGTTACTTGTCCACTTTTCAGTTTTTGAAAAATTCAGCACCGGTCAAAAACAATAGCCACTCATTTTTACGTAAACCACAAAAAACTACAAAAAAAATTACTCATCATATCACAAATATAAAAAAACTAGTGGAAATGCACCCATTTGTGGCTCATGAAGCATTCTACTCAATTTATTTTCATAGAAAAAAATGTGATTATAAAAAAAACTCACCGATTTGCCAGAAGTTTTTTTCCAGTAGAGACAGTACAAGCCGATAAGAATAATGATGATCAGAAGCAGACAAATCGCGATGCTGATTACGTACCAGAACCAAATATTCGATTCGAACCACGTTAGGCGACTTGCCCCATTCTTGTGCCGTAAATACTCTGGAATAAGATGTTAACATCAATAAAAATAAACTGTAAGCAATTCATTTATAATAATCGGTTTTCTTGAAACGATTTTTCAAATATATTTAGATATGCGATGCTTAAATTAGCAATATTATTATAAAGCGATTCGGTAAACAATAATCGTGCAGTATATTCAATTCAATTAATTCATGTTTTGTAATCAGAATCTAATCATACCTTCTGTAAGCTGAACTTTGTATCCAATGGCATTAGATATTTTCGCATTGATTATATTCTTGAGCGTGCCCACAGCCTCTGCTGCTGGGATTGGAGTTGATCCATCATAAACCACGTACAGAATCTCGGTAGCATTTGCTCGCTCATCATAGCTGGTGTTGTGAATCTTTGCATTTATCTCTTTTAGATTACGTGCGAGGGACGCAGTGGCATACATTGGGCCGGTCTGCTTAATGATATTTTTGTCATAATCTTCAGATGGAACTGGAGACAGTTCGTCAGGCTCAAGGGGGCTCATCCTCGACTGTCGTTTGGGCCTCGACAAAATATGCGTATCCTTAGGTTGGTGAGCCCACATAAAGATAGAATTCTTCCACTTTGAGCTTGCAAGCAGCATTTTATTTGAATAACTTCGCCTCTTTCTTTGCCGCACTGAAATACTGTCAGACGAATGTGTCAACTTGTCAAGTGACTCGGCATCATTGTCGACGTTGTTTGTCAATATCTTATCGTCACTTCTGGGAATGTTAAACGTAACTGGTTCACCAAGAGTTTTCAACAATTCAGAATCCTCATTCTTTCCGTCCCCAAATGCAGAGCGAAATACTTCGGATAGACCAGTTTCGATCGTATTTTTGTTCAAATCAAAATCATCTAACTTCCCTTCTATCACAGTCCGAACCCAATATTCAGGATCTGGAGTTAAATTTTCATCGACCATCGATGGTGTTGATTTAATGCCTACGACTGACGATGCAGTTGTCTTTACCTGCTCGGTTTGTGCAGAAGTCGTTTCTGACAGCTGAGTATTGTAATATTGCTCAGAGAAGTCACCAGTTGTAGTGTGATCTGAGGTTTCTGTGGTGATTCCTGCAGACGTTGGTGATAGCATTGTTTCAGTACTTATGACCGATGTGATAGTTATTGGATCCGTTCTCTCAGTCAGTTTATTAGAAGTAGTCGTTGCAATTGAAGTCGAAGATATAGTAGTTATTGGGTCCGTTTGCTCAGTCTCTTCATGAGTAATAGTCGTTGCAGTTGTAATCGAAGAGGTGGCAGTCATTGGATTAGTTTGTATTGCATTCGTTTGTTCAGTCACTTCTTGAATAGTGGTCATCCCGGTTTTAGTCGAATAGGTGGACGAGTACTCCGTGGTTGGTGGAGTAGTTGAAGGCCTCGTAGAGTCTGAGTGTATGGATTCTGTCGTGGACGTTTCATCTGATATTTCCGCAGTTGATAATTTGGTCGATTGTTCATGAATTGTCGTAGTTCCTTCGGATATATTAATCTTGGGTGTCGGAGTTACTGAAGTTTCTTCAGACGAAGAAATCAACGGCGTAATTGTTTTAATGTGATCAGATAATGATGTATTTATCGATGTTATTTCGGAAGGGAAAGATTCGGTGCTCGTCGACGTAGTGGCATTTGCTGTAGTGAACAGAGGAGTTGTATTGAGAAATGTTTCAGCAGAATGACTTGAATTAGAATATGATTGATTTATTTGAGATGGAATAGTTGAATATATGGTGGGTGAAACGCTGTAGGGAGATGTGGTTGCATACTCTCCATAACCTGAACCTTGGAACACGTTGTCAACCGAGTGCAAACTAGTGAGATTATGATCATTTGTCATCAAAGTTGGAAATAGGTGCGGTGTACTAGTTTCAGTAGGCCCAAATAAAGATGTTTTGTTGATGAAATCCCCAACTGTCATATCAGTAGCAAATGATGCATTCATTTCAGTGTTCGAAACTATCTCAGTTGATGGAGACGAAAATGTGGAGGAAGGCATAATATAACTGGCAGTGCTGTGTGGAACCTCTGTTCGATCATATAAATATTCGGTAGCAAATTCGGAAAAGTTGAACGATTCTGAGACATTCTCCGTATAAAATATTGCATCGTCTGGCGTAGTGTACTCAGTGAGGACAGAAGCATTTTGAACGTAAGGAGTTACAGAAGAAGCATTTGGAAAGAAGCTTGTTGCATTTAGTTCTTTGTTAGTATTGTTACTATTATCTATGAGCCATACTGAGTTTTCGACTTCAGTGAAATTGAACACTGTTGCCGTTGTTGGTAGTTCATTACCCATAGAAAATCTATCGCTTTGAGTTCTTCCAGATGTGAATAAGTTCTCTTCCGTAGATAAGTCAACATCAAAGGAAACATTTTCTGGCATAAAGGACGAAGATAGTTGAGGTGTGCTTTCATTGTTCAGCCCATCAATAGTCACCGAATTTGAGGATGGTGTGGTAAATATCAAGGAAGTGATGGTTTGAATAGGAGGAAGGCTTGGCGTATGAGTGAGTTCTGGAGACTCAGTAAGGTGAACCCCAAACGTTGAGGACTGTAGAGGTGGCAGCGACTGAGTCACTTGAGTATCTTCAGTTGAACCGTCCAGGGACACCACACTTGTAGATCCTGGTTGTCTGATAGTCATCGTAGGAGATGGTGCTATAAAAATTGGTGCGGTCGGTTCAACATTGATATCTGATATGGATGAGGATGAATCCATCGAAAAAGCAACCGTACTCTCTCCAATCGCTGATGTGACAGTTGTTTGTTGAAGAAATGATGCTGTATGCATTATTGAACTCAGAATATTCGAGTGTTTTTTATTGCCTGACTCCAGAGCAGCCACTTGTTCAGTGCAATTTCTATACAATTCTTGCCAAGTATTTGTTGGCGCGCTTTCAATAGCAGTAGTTGAAATTGTGAGTGGCGTCTTCTCAGCGTACATCGTTGTAGCGTAAACTGTTGATGTTTTATACACTGTAGAAACAATTGTGGTGCGCACATATGTTGCACTCGGAAAAGTTACGTATGGGGATTGAAGATACGCATACGTTGGTGAGGAAAAAACGTTGTTGGAAGCTGATTGCAGTTCCAACCAAGCTGTGTCTCGGCTATGGTGCTGCCATTCTTCTTTTGATCCGTCTCCTGTGAAGAAAATGAGTATGAAGCTGGTCATTGAAACTGAATTATGCCAGATTTTTTTATAAAAATGAATAATGAGCAGATTTTTAGCGCATTTTCTCATTTATGGAGAAAATGCGCTATTATGCTCGTCATGTCCGTCCGTCGGTCCGTCTGTTTGTCCGTCCTTCCGTGACCAAGTTTTCATCGACGAGAAAATGCGCTCTCTGTCACTCACTGCAGTGAGTACTGAGTTATATTTTTATTGTTTGAGTGTGTCTATGCATCCGATTCAGTAGGCTATTTATATTACAAAAAGTTATTTGCATGTCTTATAAAAAATCTATACATTATTAAAACATTGGTGTAGTTCGGCAGAAGTTATTCTATAATGCAGGTTTCATTGAAGACCAGCGAGTTTTTCTTACAAACAATTTTCTTATTTGTTTCCTCTTTTCGACAAATTTGGGCTTTTGATCGGACTTTAAAATTCAAATCCAAGGTTTCTAAGTGATATTTTATTATAATTTAAGACGTTTTGAATGCAACTACATTCATTATCAAGAAGGGGCAACAATTTTGCAGCACTTGAATTTGAAATTTTTGAAACGTTAGTACAGACATAGAGTATCATGGCTACAGATTTAAAATCAAAACTTAAGTTACTAGAACAGTTTCAACGTCCATACAAATCCAGTAGTTTGAAAATTAATAGCTGGAGACTCATGCTTGATGATGAGAGCCTCAGCTATCGCCAGTCTTGTGGCTTCTGGGCATCTCATGATGATTCTGGTGTGGGTCTCCAACATCGCGCGAGTGAGTGTCTCATTATGAGCCTCTCTCATGTGGTTCTTCGGTTCTCCGGTCTGGAGGTGGCATGTTAGGTCGTGCTGGTCAAACCAATGTAATTTACGTTCTGGAGAAGTCTACCACCTTCTTTGTGGCAGGAATATTTGTAAATAACATTAGTTTCTTGTAATGATCCCGACTTTTTGCTTGGATTATTTTTCATTAATAAATTCCTGAGTTTCTTTTTTTATAGTAAATCAGGAGTTTGATTTACATATAGTACTGTAAATCAGGAGTTTATTGTACTGAACGAAGTAAGCGAATGTCCACAGCGATACAAAACCAGCACTTTACGCGCCCTAATACACAGAGCATTTAAAAGTACATCCGCTATTGACTTAAGAACTGAATTCCAGATCTGCAAACAAATTCCCTAAAACAACGGTTATGTGAATAAAACTATCGGCACTGAAATTTCAAACAATCGTGTACGTCAAAAACAAACGGACAATGAACCAACATTCAAAGGATATATTACGACAATTTTTTATCAAAACCAAATGACTGGGGGCTATAAGACAAACGATATAGTCTTCAAATCAATTGCGCTGATTAACATCAGAAGCACAACCGCAGCCAACTGAATCAAACTCCTGATTTACTATAAAAACGTGAACTCAAGAATTTAATAATGAAAAACAATCCATGCAAAAAGTCAGGACCAATACAAGAATGTTATATACCAATGTTATACTCGTATACAAATATTCATGCCACAAAGAAGGTTTTAGACTTCTCCTCAATGTAAATTTCATTGGATTGACCAGCACGACTTTGAGTCGCAGCCTAACATGCCACCTTCAGACCGGAGGACCGAAGAACCACATGAGAGAGGCTCATAATGAGACACTCACTCGCGCGACGTTGGAGACCCACACCAGAATCGTCATGAGATGCCCAGAAGCCACAAGACTGGCGATAGCTGAGGCTCTCATCACCAATTAAGCAGGAGTCTCCAGCGATTAATTTTCAAACTGCCGGATTTGTAAGTACGTTGAAACTGTTCTTGTAATTCAAGCTTTGATTTTCAATCTGTATCATAATACCCTATGTTTTACGTCATTATTATTAACGTCATTTTAAAATTTCAAATTCAAGTGTTGCAAAACTCTTCCCCTGCTTGATAATGAATATAGTTGCACGCAAAACGTCGTAAATTATAATGAAATGTCCGTAGAAACCTTATATTTGAATTTATAAGATCTATCAAGACTAATTCGTCGAATAGAGAAAAACAATAAGAAAATTTTCAATAAGAAATACTCACTGGTCTTCAATGAAACCTGCATTAAACAATGATAAAAATTATATCCATGACCATGAGGAGCTTAATTACTTTCATTACCAGAACCAATGTACTGCAAGAAGTCCTCCAGNATCCATGTGCAAGAGGAGCTTAATTACTTTCATTACCTGAACCAATGTACTGCAAGAAGTCCTCCAGAACGTAATTTCTCATCGCTCTGTTAGGCTCTGATGTGTGTCGTCGGTATCTCGGGACGGGGGATGACGAAGAATTACTTGATGGTGCATTATGTGTCAATGCATAATTGCTGAAATTATTAAAAGATACCGATTGGTTAACATTTATTGAGCCATTATTTGCTTTATAAAGTGATCTCATAGATGAGCTGTAGGATGAATTATATCGATGGAATGAATGCGGACTGGTAGAGGGGGATGTTGGTGATGAACTTGGTCGTGGTGTTCGGGGGGCGGTGACGACATGACTGCGCAGCGCTGCTGGGGAGACGGGGGTTGGTGAGACTAGGCGGACCGAGGACCCGGAGTCCGTCTGACTGGACTGCAGTGAGAGCATCGAGTCTCCTGTAATTGGTAATACGCATGAAAATGTGCCGTAAGTAACTAACTCTGAGTAAAGCTTTTTGAGGAACTAACTCTGATTTAGAAGTTCATAGTCAAGAGTTAGTCAAAGGCCATAGTCAGAAGGTCAAAAAATTTGTTCAGTAACACAAGATATCTCTATTAATATTGAACAATCTTGAGAAAAATAAACATAGTTCTGGAATAATGCTGTGTCACATTTAGTGAGAAAACGACAAAGTTTTCGTACGATCCCTTTAGTTTTGGCCGGTACCGTATTTAGGAGTAGCGATGTCAGCTCTACCATTGATAACTCAGCTTTGCTGCGTATTGCACACCAACTGCTCTACTCTTAAAACCTACTTAGTTCGTGGCCAATAGTGATTTGTATTCGTTTACGTTTGTAGTTATTGTCGTAGTTGCTTACAGTTTCACCGTAGGTACTAATAAATTTCCATTACCTTTCCTTAGAGTAAAGTCGATCAGTGCTATATTCACAACTGATAAGTTCATGGGCAGGGTGGCCCAGTGGTTACAGTTCAGAGTACCAAGATAGTCAAAGGCCATAGTCAGAAGGTCAAAAAATTTGTTCAGTAACACAAGATATCTTTATTAATATTGATCAATCTTGAGAAAAATAAACATAGTTTTGGAATAATGCTGTGTCACATTAAGTGAGAAAACGACGAAGTTTTCGTACGATCCATTTAATTTTGGCCGGTACCGTATTTAGGAGTAGCGATGACAGCTCTATCATTGATAACTCAGCTTTGCTGCGAATTGCGCACAAGCAGTGAGTTGCGAGTTCGAGACCGCAAAATGCTGTGAATGTTCTGCACTGTTAATAATCGGCGACAGGCCTACGGCCTACTAAACGCTGGAACCGCTATTACCACTATGAAGACTAGGATACTCCCTCCCCGATTCGCGTAAGTTGAAGTGTCTCAGTAATGCTTTGAATAAATTTGTACCTTGAAATTGGTAGCTACATTTTGAATATTTATGTTAATCAAAACCCAATATTTCTGCTAATTATTCGCACATGATTTTCCCGTTTATTTGTATTTAGGTACGGTATTTCTGATCCCGCAGTTAACAAAGAAGAAAGGAAAAATGATCCGAAGCTATTAATTTTCCCAATATTCCTGCCTGTGGCTACGATTAAGCTATGGCTTCTGAAATTCTGGCCAGCACATGCTGATATACCTCAATCTCGTACATTAATAATTAATCCCGTCATAAATTGATCGTAACGTTTTATTTCTAGACATATACAATGACAATTGTGATGTTCAATAAAAAGCATAGATTCCAATAAAAAACATAAAAAACATGGTTTTGCTCAAATAAAATTACAAAGCATGTTTACAAGCGTTCCAGATTCATGTGGAAGCGATTCATCGTTGTATCGAATTAACATCGATCTGAACCATATGCCTTCGACGCTACATGTATTATTCAGTAATGGAGCTCATGATTGCGCTGCTACTTAGAGGTTCTAAGCACAAGAATTAGCAGCACTCAGTTGCTACAACCTCTTACACGTTACTGAATAGTTTATGTAGACCGTACGTACTCTAAATTCACGAACATTTCCACTTACATGCAGTAAGGAATATGAAGAAGCAATTAAAAAGCTTGGTGGAAACTACACAGTGAATGATTCCAATTTTTGCTAATTCTGGCTGGAGAATTTATAGCAATACAATAATAGCGAAAACTGAATAGATTACTAGTACTTTTATACATCAATAGGGAATGTTCAAATAGTTCAATCAAGATAATTCTTTAATCATCAAAACCTTGAGGAAATAGAAAATAGTTCTCCCGAAAAACCTACGAATCATTCCATTATATCTGGACATCGTATCACGGAAGTAGTTCATCGGAGATTTTTTCATTAGAGACTGAAGTCGATTAGAGATTATTGTTCATGAAAGATTGTAATTTATGAGAAGTTATAGTTAAATTATGATTAGAGTTAATTATTGGTTATACAGTAGTTCGTTAATTATTATAGTTAATTAGATATTACAGTTAATTAAATATTATAGTTAGTTAATTATTACAGTTAATTAATGATTATAGTTAGTTAATGTTTATTATTCATAAAATTATTGTTCACAAAGGATTTTAGTGGTATTTTGTGAAAGATTATTGTTCTAGTGGGAGATTGTAGTTCATGAGAGATTAAGTTTTTGAGATCACAGTTCATTGCAGATAATATTTTATTAAAAATTGTATTTCATTACTGATTTTAGTTTTTCATATATTTCAGTTCATTAGAATGGTATTTCATGAGAGATTGTTGTTCACAAGAGATTTCATTTAATTATATAATTTATTTCATAGGAGCTTGTAGTTCGTTAAAGGTTGAAGTTCATTAGAGATTGCGGTTAATTCAAGATCATTGGATCATTGCATTTTATGAAGTTGACCCATTTATGATCAAACATATATCAACTTGCTAATAACTGTGTATCAAATTTGCTTAATTAAGAGTATTTTTTCCGAAATTTCGTCATCAAAATTGTTAATTGTCATTTACCAACAATGACGTAGACTGACTGTAGATCGTAATCTGTGTATAAAAAATTCTGCAAGGTTTATGGCCGCAAGGACAGTTATTACATGAATATCTATGATTAACTAAATAACTGCGAACGTGCAAGGAAGGTTTCTAGCCTTCCAACGTCTTGAAAGAACAAAAATTTCGACTATTTCATCGAATGAAAAAAAGAGGATTTGATATAATATTTCGCGCCAGCAAAGAACACCTTCAATTCAGTTGTGGAACAGTTTCATGTAACTTTAAAACGAAATTTTGATGTTATAAAAAGACTAAGTTCAGAAATGTAGTTGGTAAACATTACTTAATTTAGGCAGAGAATTGCGATGCATCTTAAAAACAAAATTGAGATGACAAAATAATTTAGCAGCGCAAAAAATTGTTGTAAAAATAAAGACAAGCAAAAGATTAAATAAAAATTTATTAAGATGCTGACTAGAGTTACTGAAAAACTGTATTAAAATTGGAAGTGAGCCTGCGACGACTTGATACGTCAGCTCTATACAAAAAATTGGGGAAATTCTTCCATGGCAGATTGCAGTGGGTACTGAATAGTTACTATTGTGGCAACGTAACGAATCCTTATTCCCATTGATTGATAAATGAGCTTCAAAATCCCAGAAAACGGAGCTGAAAACGATTTAATGAATAAAGAAAGAAGGCCCTCACATTTTCACAAAAGCTGTCGAAAATATCGATCTCGGAAATTCTTTCATAAATTATTGTCAATGTTTCGTCAAACTTCATGCGGTGTGAAACATTATACATAGAAATAGAGAAACTTAAATGGTGAATTGCCTTGTCTTCTTTCTTAGCGTACGATAAAAATATGCTACAAATCAACAGAAGATTAGGCTCATGACCAATCTGTCACTCAGAGCAGGATTCATCATGCGTTATTAGTTTACTTATTCAAATTTTATATGCAGTTGAGTTGGTGTTTTGTGGATTATTCAGTCGATTCTTTGTGAAATTATTCGTTGTGGAAGCCATCTTTGATGCAACAAGCGTTCTATTGAAATACAATGTAAAATAAGTGCAGAAACTAAGTTAGGTCGAAACTGGGCTGTCTCAAAAAAAATCACTGAAAGGATTAAGTATATCCTGAAGCAATGAACTGACATGCACCTATATATATATATATATATACAATAATAATTTTTTTCAAGTCGCTACTCTTATTAGTAAGTAGCTATGCAAAAAAGTGATATATAGTGGTTCAAAAAGTATAGCCGTTTAGTAGAGAATAGACCCAGCCGTAAGACTTCATAAGAGCAATGACCTCAATACTGATTATTTGAAGTCTCCTTAAATAGCGTACATCCGATGTATTTTTTTTTCACTCTAGCCGTAAGTTTTCTAGCCCTACCTTCACTTTTAAATAAGATAGGAGTTTAACTTTTTTAATATGATTTCCAGCTATTTATTTTTATATCACGATGTTGTGGTATCCAGTGGCACCGCGGGTGCTGCATAGCGCGCTGCTATCGTTGCTTAGCAGCCGAAATATGGGCGTAAAGTTGGCTTATGGCCTCAGTGCAAGCATGCCCTGTAGCCTGCGCTACAAGACCTGCGTATTACCTTCGCATTGATGTGTAGGTTATAGCTGCACGCGCGTCGGTGTATTACCTTCGTATTGATGTGTAGGTTCCATCATTTTCAATAATTTTCATGCGTCTTCTACATTTACCTCTAGAAAATAATATGTTATTGTAAATCAAGAAGAAAATTAGAAGTATCATTGCGTACGGTATTTTACAAGAAAGAACACGTTTAACGCAACATTTTTTACTGAAATTTGTTTCATTATTTAAGCATCAGCAAAAGGTTGTGAAGCTCAAGCCTATTCATAGACGTAATTTCAAGCCGGCAGACGTAATTTCAGAGGTCGTCTCCAGTGGTAGCCCGTATCAACATTGGGCGCTGCCTCGCGCGTCGCCATGACGACCGACCACAGCTCGACTATACGCTGCTTTACGTGTATGCGTTATTCGGTTTCTTCTCCCTGTCGGTTGCCATTTTTTCTGCTTTCGTTTATGCACCAGGTGCATTCATGCTCAGCGTTATGCTTCATCGGGAAAATCGGCAAAAAATAATCATAATAAATACCATCTTAATAATTTTAAGATTTAAAATCCCGCATGAGAACTGATTAGTTCTTATCAAACAAATAATTACTATCACTATAATTTAGTGAGTGACGAACTAACAATCCATGTCAAAAATTTCACTCGAAGAGAGATATAGGTAGATCCTTTTGGTTTGTTTAGTTTAAAATTCTAATTATTTTCCACTGGACATTTATGTTCATGAGTTAACGACAGTCTCAATGATAATAGTTTAGACGTCTGTTGTGTCACTGAGAAGCATCCCCTAGAGATGAGCAGCTCACACGAGAGCTAGACGACCTAAGTCTCTGTATTGATCAGCAGGAATGCTAGGTTACGTGGTAGTGCAAGACTAGTCTAGCACGGCTGCCACATACAGTCACTTGCACCGGTTGTTTTCATATCTTCTGGTATGAACCTGCTGCCAAGAACATATTCTTAGAAAATTTGTTTCATGTACTTTGATTAGAAGAGCACCTGCGAAAACAATCCTTCTGAGAATTGTTTGCGTTTAATCGGTATAGCAACATTTTCTAAAATTTTCCTTTGTGAGTTTTTGTACTTTACTCAATAGCCTTCTCTATAAAACAATTGTTTGTGAAGCGCTTTCTTTTGCCTCTGGTTAGATGTTCTTTTTGAAAAAAAAATCTCTTATAAAGTGTGCTTTCATGTCCTACAGTTCGAAACCTCTTCCAGATACCAACATAAATGACGATTATGTAAAACTGACCCATGTAGCATCATTATTACACGTTAAAAGATATTGTGTCGTGAATAAATTCAATTCCTAGTGTGAATATAATTAAACAATAAAATCAAACATTTTAAAACCGTCTGAAAGCGTAAGATGAACGAAAAATCGTTTCATTTCAAAATAAATGGCGTTTGTGCGTGTGTAAGTTGGCTAGTGTCAAAACTTGAATCGCATCCGAATCCAGCATTTTTGTACACATTCCTTGTGAACTCTCACGCTCCATATTGTTGGGGTTTTTAACGGCGCATCTAAAGTTGTTCCGTATGCTTTCTGCAGCGGTCGATGAAATTAAGCTGGACTAGATGCAGCATATCTATCTTTGTGTTCTCAATTCTAATCTTATTATAGAATATTTCAAATTAAATTTTAATGATGCATATGAAATTTATATAAAAATTCATGTAAACATTTGAAATCCATAAATATCAAACATATCGGTGAGTACGTTGATCGCCGATAATATAGCAGATAGTGAACCTCAGCCTGACAATTTACAAACATTCATAGCACGCTAACTATTTAATTATACAAATCTAACATGAATTGGTTGCTTCAACTGTAAGCTGATTGAGAATGCCCATCATTAAACATCGAGGTCGAAGTCTGAAACAATGCGTTGATTCGGAAAAAGTTCAAACCTCGCTATGTATTTTGAACGCTCACCATCGATTACAATCGATCATGTTCAAGTGCAGCCGCTGTATGAATACAAAGCCACGATAACGTCAACCTTGCATGCTAGACGACAATTAAAACGCGAAAACTTCACATAACATGCAAACAATCGTCATTGATCCTGTACAAAATAACGGTAGTCTTTTTCTCTGATGTTACTACCGAAACTTTCGTACTAGCCATGAAATTACATTGTGTTATCAACCGTACAAGCCATGCTTTTCTATCAAAGTCAATAGCAATTGGCTCAATAATAGTGTTTTCCATGATATGAAGCCTCGAGGAATCATTGTTCAGTTAGCCCCTCATGCAAATGCATTTATTCGACAAGATTAGAGTTACATTCAACTTTGTTCGCATAACACAAACGAACGCAAAGAAATTTATCCGGGCCGTCCCGCAAATTGATTGTGCGATGCAATCAGTATGAAGAAAAATATCCCGTGTTCAACGGATAAGGATAAACATGAATTAAGACTCTTAAAAGAATACTCTTTTATTTCCTGACTAACTTTGATTTCAGGATTACACGCAGCTACAACTAAATAGCAGTTAATGTGTTTTGATGACGATCGCCCAGTGAAGCAGGTGTCGCTATCAGACGTCATAATGACGTGCGACCTGCTGGTGGTGCAGAGCTGACGAGGGCTCTTGTCAGGCCGTTACAGTGAATGAGGGCTCTTGTCAGGCCGTTACACTGAAGCAGGTGTCGTTGTCAGACGTCATAATGACGTGCGACCTGCTGGTGGTGCAAAGCTGACGAGGGCTCTTGTCAGGCCGTTACCACTGGATACTCAGGGCAGTTAGTGCGGGCATCGATCTGAAGAAACTGCGCTGCGTAGCCATTTCATTTGACGTCTCGGACGGTTTGTTGCAGGTGTGTCGAATTTGCCACATAGCCAGAGATGGTCCGATTTTTTTATAGTTTAAGAATAGATGTAAACATTTATTTTATGGTATGCACGAACCTGGACCTTCCTAATTTTTATCTGCCACTTTAACCATCGACCGAAAAGGCTGTTAACACATCTTTAATTCGACCTAATATGAACCCAGGCATAAATCATTTTCATCATTCCCAATTTCGCTTTTAAAGGCATTCGTTCAGCTATAGCTGAGAATACTCGGAACTAAATAAAAATATTATAATGTTATTGTCATCCCCTCGCGCATCTGACAACGGATAATTTCGGATAATTTTGGTTAAAGGAGGAAGGCTTAGTCTATAATGATTTAAACTATACTGTCTAACTAAAGTGCATCTACTTGTGATATCGTTGAGGGTTGGGCATGCTTAATTCTGATAATACTTGTCATAATAACGGAATTAAAAAAATCAGGAAATAGTTCCAGTGAGTCAGCGTTATAAGATCCCGGAAGCAGAATCCGTAGCGGCGCATCACATCCGGTTCCGTTTTGCATGAGCATGCCATGAGCGCACGGCGGATTCATGTTCTTCACTTCCCATTGTCTTAGTTGAAGGTATTATCTGAATGTCCAAATTAATTATCCATTGAAGTCAAAATGTTAAAGCAAACTGAAGTACTAAATTACTTAAAAAAGTACAGCAACGTGGACATGCAAACACCCAGTTGCTTACAGATGGTTATTTGTTGGTTACATAGCTTTTCGCTTTTACTTACTTTCAATAATGAAATGCAAACCATCACCGATTAATCACTCTTTTTCGTTCTAAAACTTAAACCTCAATCGAAGCCTCGAGTAATATAGTATACAAGTTCGGTAGAGAAAACAATTCATTTATGGGTATTTAATGTTCTTTCTTTACCCAAAAATGAGAATGCGAAAGTTGTGATTAACATCACCTTTCCCCCACTGACGTTAATTATTGTAGTTGCAAGGCATTTATATTATAATTACAGTGCAAAGGGGCTAATGTATCCATAGATATTGGTTGAGAACAAGTTTCTGAAGGTGCCCCAGCGAAAATGGGACGGTTTTTGCGAATTCAAACATCGAAAATTTGCGTGACACGGTCAGTGGAGCAGAGAGGGCGGCGAGCGGCCTTGTGTTAGGGGCGTGGGCCAGCAGATGTGCTGCGGCGGTTGGTGACTATCACAGGACGGTTCTTGCTCGCATTCAAACAGCGCTAGCGCTGATCCAATTATATGATTATGATGTGCTGTTAGCGATACCGTGAAAGAATATTTAATAAAGTTGACGTCAAGTGTCGAAGAAATGTAAAATATTCAGTGTCTAATTATTGATGGCGAATTCGAAATATTCATTCATTCTTCCTCGAACTGAATCTCCTTCATATCAATACAATTAAGGCTATTAATCATTAAATCAAAGTGGAATAAAGAGATTCAGAGCGCGAATTTAAAAACCGATCATTTTTTTTAATTCAATCAATCATGAGTCGACAATAACTAATAAATTTGTGTGAAAAAAACTGTTAATGTCTCTAATTTCAAATCTACCATCGATCCTTGGTGAATAAAATAGACAGCTGCAAGTCAGTAATTAAAGATGTTTTTTGTTGCATTGAGATTTAATTTCTTTTGATAGTATTTTTGAATACTATGCGTCTCTATACATAATTTAAATCACTTTTCCTGTTAAGTTTGTGTACTTACATACATTAAAATACGATTTTTCAAGTGTACGAATATTTATTTCCCCCCACTGTAGATGAGAGAATTTTTTAATATTTATTAGTATTAGGCCTATTCAGGAATCGTAAAATTGTTGTAAAAGAAACTATGTTATTAAATAAGGTACATAAATTTCGTATTTCTAGGCCTGCGTTTAATAAGTTGCCACGGTTTGTTTGCTGAAATTACAGAGCAATGTGAGAGATAAGGTTATTATGGAAACTTAGAATCAAACTTACGTATTGGATGTGAATTTTCTGAAGCTCCTCTCACCAGCTGCGAGGTTGACAGGAACAAGACAACAAGAATCCATCGAGCTGACGAAAACAAATTTCTTGCCCCTTGTGTAGGGCCTTTCTTATGCATGAGCTTCATCGTTTTAATGATCTCGAAATTGAACTGCTAGAGTCCATGTTCTCCTAAAATCACCGTTCTGCTAAGTCTACATAATTCACGGACAGTGTAACCGAATAATATTGACAGCGAAGCAAGTTAGACCATTATCGAGACTTGTTTCCGTGGACCATGTTGTTTAAGTCATGGATTTGCTATCGATTGACATTTGTTAGCAGTAATTTCAGGTGGAGGCCCTCGATTCAACGAATCGCAGGATGAAGAGTTCACATCTTGAAGAAAACTAATGAGCCACATCTTATGACCTTACGCTTGCGTGAAAATTACTAAAGATGCAATTACAAAAATCCTTACTAGTAAAGGGGAACAATGCTTGTCAATTAAATTTCATTTTATGTTCAATTCGAATAGCAGTTTAAGAGGTGATGTGCATTTCATTCTTTGCGGGAACAGTTCATCATAAATAGATGTTTTTTTTTCTATTTTGGTAAATGTCTCTTCACAAACCGATCTGAAAGTGATCATTCTGCACAAGAAAAATATAATAACTATCACAATTTTTAAATAGACACTTTTTGCACACTGATTCTGTCATTTGTTACAAATCCCATATATCTTCACTCACTAGCGCTCCTGATTGATCAGCATCCATCACATGTAAGACAATCACAGTTCTCATAGGCTAATTCAAATGGATACATGCACCTGCAACATGACTTAGTGGTAATTCTGTCGCAGAACAATCTTTAGACATGTAATGTAGATGAGCTTCCGTTCTGAGCCTCGCAATAATAGACTGGATGTCCAGAAATCAACGTGTGCACAAGGCGTGAGGTGACCACCAGCTTTGTGCAATTAAGTAACTTCCTGTGCCCGGCACAAGGGAGGTCGTGATTCGACTACCGACCAACAACACGGCTCACGCTGCACTGACTGACAGACTGACAGTTACCGACTTACCGTCGGCGTCGAGTATCAGACTATCACACCACACTCCCGCCATGCCGAGTCAACCGATCGACCCGTTTATGCTATAGTGTGTCGTGCAGGTTGTAATCCACCCAATCGGATTTTTCTGGAAATATTTACGGTACTTGGGGATACGACAGGAATAAACACGACTGCATAAGGTCATTTGCCATTCCTTACCTATCCTTTGTTGGGTCATGAATTTCTTCACACGTTTTGCATGGTGCAACCACAAAAAAAACGGAGGTAATACTTGTATGACAGTATGACTATACATATTTTGCATAATATAGTTCTATGCTGCGTCTTAATTTTTTTCAACTATAGTTGCATATAAAAAATCTGTATTCATTACAACCTTTGCTAGGTGTAGAGTTGAGAATATCTGCAATTTCTAGGTTTTACCGGCCATCAATATACGATCCATTGAAAAACGTATTTCCACAGCACGATAGGTACGTAGGATGTAAACGCATTGTTAACGATGTGAAAGATTCGCCGTCAATTGGCACAAATTCATATGCTATATATGAGTTCATTTTTATACCTTTCCAAACATGGAGAATATCTTATAACTTTTATATTTAGAATATAGTAGCAGTCGCTAATAGATTCACTCCCTATAGTGCTTTATAAATCAATAATAGAATATCAAATAATTTATTTTTCTTGCCAAACTCATGAATGGGCATAATTGTGTTTGTTTCAACAATGAGTTCGAGTTTATTTTTGAAATAACATAATTGAAGGAGACTCTCCATTTCTGATCACTTTGTGCAAATAATAATTATTTTGTAAACTTCAGGACTAAATTTGTATTCACTTATAACGTATCATGTACAGCTTAGTTGCACATACAGTAGGGACATAAAAATACGTTAAAAACTTTTGCTTCGCTTATTGATTGAATAGTAATCTTCCATGGTGGGAGAGAGACGTTTGATATTTTGATGAATATTTACTGTTTGATCAATGCTTGATGTGTTCAGACTCTGATAATGAGGCTTGCCATTTGTTGAAAAGAGAAAACAGTTAAATCCACAAGCCAAAAGGTCAAACCCAGCTTCAATATTTAAAGGTAGATTTGTAATATTGCCGCAGCCGTGATCCACAAATTTTACTCCTAAATAAGCCACGGAGCCAACAGTCAGCCTCAGCATGCAATAACTTTATTCAGCCTCAGAGATAAAAGCCGCATGCAGTCTACGCTGGAACACCGTACCCGCACCAGTGAGACACTGCTTGAAGATAATAGTGCCGTAGGTCTTCAGCCAAAACTTCAGCATGTTCGCTCATAGGCAGGCAGTTCTGCATCCGGCCTCACCTACTGTGGCCTAACATCTTTACTCTCAACGTCCAGTAGCCAATGAGGTTAGGTTAGGTCAGCTCAGATTGGTTTTGCGTGGAGAAATGTTGCAACGTGTTTATTTTAGGCCAGAAGAGGTTGGGCGGCAATAGGCTTGGCCAGATGCAGCATGACCACGCTTAACTTGGGCATGCTTACGCTGTGGCAATGAGCACACGACGTTATGGCTTTAAAACTAGACTTCATAGGCTACTATTTCCTATAGCGTTCTCATCCACGAAAGGAATATGATTGAAGTGTGAAGTTGGGCGAAGCTTGCCTTCGGCATGCGTCCCCCGTCTGACTTTAATTTCAAATTGGATAACTCATGCCAATGTTTGTCAAAGAGCTCAAAATTGCGCTGCATAGATTTAGAATATGTAATATAGTTTCATGTTTATTGTAGACATTCGGAAAAGTTTCAATTATACTCTGAATTTCGCGCAGCATTCGATGTACCGTTCGTAAAATGTTCACGTAAAAGCGTTTTAATGACGGATGATGTTTTACTCATCAAACACAATTAGCGTCAGAAATAAGGTCTCCGAGTAATTTTTACTCGTGAATAACTTATCCAATTAGCGATGAACTTACCTTCCTTGTATGTGCCACCCAGACTATGGTCGGCTCAGCAAAAAGGAGTTTCACTGATGCTGGCGGAAAATGTGTCCCTATTTGGACAATATATTGACACATCTATTTTCTGAGCGCATGTTCGGTCAACATGAACGGCTGCTCAAGGAACAACCGTGTACCCAGAGGTGGGCAGTAGCGCGCTACATGTAGCGGCCGCCACATTTTCAGTAGCGGTAGCGGCGCTACGCAATTGTAGCGGTAGCGGTAGCGCCCGCTAAATATTTAAGTAGCGATATGAGGTTTTGCAGCTACAGCGCTACCGCTACATTTATAGATAAAGCCTTAGATTTTACTTAATAGTATTAAAAAATTAATACTAAATTGCAACGCTTCCAAACTTGGGGTTACTGGTAGCACAAAGTAACCGTGCTTATTGAAGCCTAGCGCCTTAGCCTATGATGTTGTTGTTGTTGGCCTACGCAATATATAGACTAAAATTATTATCCATAAAAAATCACGTAATTGCATATGTAATTGTATAACCATAAACCACCAGAACCCAAATTGTTCATTATCATGTCTGGACAGAGCGGTGTTGGGTTGATCGAATTTCATTCATCTCTGCAGTATAAATTTTGTTACAAGTGAATGATGGGGCAGTTCGGAATTTAATGTACGATAATTCATCATCACACCCATTCTTTTACAACACCTGTTAATACTGGCTACGTACCCCTCTTAGAAACCACTGTCCTGGCCACGTTTACTGTGCGGCATTTATACTGAATCTGAATTTCTGAAAATCTGGCATTCAGTGTCGGGATCCGTGTTCGTCGTGCCGTGCAGTTACTGGTGTCTTCAGTGCAATTAAGTTTAGGTACAATTTCGTTTCCTTAAATGGGTCTGCGTAAGGCTAATGTTTCTTACTAGTTACTACAGCTCACATAAGAATAGCTTGTTAATAACTTGGTACGCAAGCATCTCATTCGTGATCTAATTAAATTAGTGATCTTTGGGAGGAATGGAACTCTTACTCAGAGGTCAGACTCTCAGTTACTGCCTGCCTTACACAGAACAGAAGACAGAATTCTGTAGTCAGACTCCGACTAAACCGACTCACGTCTGCAGAGTCTCTGACTTCGAGAATAAGAAGAATGTTAATTTAAAGTTTAAGCCATCATTGCTCAGACTCAGACAGTCAGACTTTGGTTCAACTTCAAGTGGTACACTTCAATTTTCCAAAGTTCAAGTGGTAGGCACATTTCAAAGTTCAACTTATCATGTATTCATGATTTCATGTTGCCAACAGCAAAGTGAGCAAACTTGTAGCACTGTAGCACCTTTGACTTTGGGTTTGGGAGCCTCAGCCACCTAATTCTACAGAATTGAGAATCCTATTTTAAGGAGTTTGGTTAGTGGCCATGGTGCAATTCTATAGGTTATTCAAAAGAACCTGGTCTTATGTCATTTTGAACCAAACGCTTCTTTACAGACTGATTACCGCACCGCGGTAACACACCTTCACCGGCAAAAGCTTTCATACTTCTGATAGCTGATAGTCTGATACTTCTGAAGAAAGGTGAACTGACAGCTACACTGGCCGTGGGCGGGCCTTATTTGAATTTGAACGCATGCATCGATTTGAAATCCTATACGCATAGTATACGAGCTGTCTCTTATACACATCTAGATGTGTATAAGAGACAGGCATAGGCCAGAATGTCAGCTTTAAGATGAGACTAAACACGTAACTGCAGCACAACTCAAGTAGACACTATATTTAAAGAGCTCAGCAGCTAATTAGTTCCTATCTAATTACTTAAAGAACTCCCCCACCCGCCCCCCTTTCATGAAATGTCGTGAAATCATAAATCAACATAGAGAGATGGCAGTGGTACCGTTGGATAGGGCAGAATGTCAGCTTTAAAATTAGTATGAAAACCAAAAAAGTGAAAATTTTCAATTTTAGGGTAGACGCTCCCCTTAAGTTGCCAATACGTATTTAATGTTGTCTTCCGTAGTTCTGTTGGTACAAAATTTACAAAATAACGTTGAATTATTGATTGTTAATTTCTTGCATTAGGTAGATTCAAATTAATTATAGAAGTTGTGTCTCCATAATTCCATGTTGAATTAAAATTACCCATAGAAGGTTCACATACAGATGCTAGCGCCAGCAGTGGCAATCAAAGGAACTATTTTATTCTTTAGTATATTTACTATAATAACAATATATTATTCTGCTTAGGCACAGTCTCTTAAAATGTTGCAGCAACACATTTTCCATTACTAATTATTTACATTTATTTGTTTGTGGTGCAGCAAAATATTGCATTTTTTTTATGTCACAGTCGAGGTACCATGTGTCCTTGTGTGTGACGTGACTGACGTCATCGCAGGCCTGGCGAGCCCGCCCCGCTAGCCATATGTAAACAAAGCCACAGCACGACACTGCAGTGAAGATGGGAACAGTTTTGCATTGGAATCTATGGTTATTTGTGAATAATATTTTCAATTGTGATATTGACACTTGACAGTAGTGTCAACATTTGAACATCAAAGTTCTAACATCATGAATTATGAGGTAAAAGTGTAAGGACTGAGCAGAGCTAGAATCATGG